CAGTGAGAACTCAATTTCACATTAATAAACCCTAACACCAAACTGTTAGAAACTCAAAAGACACCAGGTATTACAACTTACATAAATTACAGCCAAGATCAAATGGCCCGTACAAGCAATTGTACAGTGATAAAGCCTAAGTGGCTGATATTTAAACAGATATTTGATTTACTGCAGAATTTTATATCATGCTCGAATTCAAATGACAATTTACAAGTCCAGAGGAAAGAAATCCCTGTCCCATGCAAACTACTGTTTGCAGCACTGTTTCAGAAGAGCTTAATTTTTTTATAACTTTAAGAAAGAAATTCTTCCCTCTGATATTCTCAGGCCAAACTATAAAACCTGACATTTAAAAAGAGAATGAACAAGCTGCTTCCTTCATCCCCAGGCAGGAAATAGCATCCTCAGTCTTCTGCGAGCTCAGCCTCATGAACCTAATTTTTGCAATATAATACAGCTGGCTGTGGTGTCTTCCATTTAAAAAAAAAAAGCAAAAAAAAAAGCTCTGATGTTAAGTTTGAGGGTATGTCTCAAGTTCTTTAGAGATGTACAAATTGTGAAGACTGTAGAACAGACAGTGCCATCTCTTATTAATGGCAGCAACACCACTAGTTAATATTAATCTGCTTTCTATCAGAAAAAACTGCATTTTGAACCAAGTTTGAGATGCCTCACCACAGCACTCCCGGCCAGCTCTTCCTCAATTTCTCACAACAGCCCTGCTTTTCCTAGCTAAGAAAATTTGCAGAAGAAAAAGAATGCATGAAATAAAACACAAAGTGAATTTTGCAGAGCAGGAACCATGCAGATTCACATCCTCACAACAGCCCTGCTTTTCCTAAGAAAATTTGCAGAAGAAAAAGAATGTATGGAATAAAACAAGAAGTGAATTTGCAGAGCAGGAACCATGCAGATTCACATTCTTGAATCGAACTAACACCTGAACAGGTTACAAATGGTTCCCCTGAGACCACACAACCCTCTTATTCCCCAGCAGTGAGCAACTACAGATAATTCTGGGTGGGGGAAAAAAAAATAAATAAAAATCCATCAAGGAAAAGATTTATCAAAGAAAAAAAAAATTGCAGGCTTCCAATGCGATCCAGGAAAACCTCTTGGCCAATAGTTGCAGCAGCACTAATTGTTCTAAATCTATCAATAAAGCTAAGCTGCTCCTTCATTGACTGCAAACACCAATTTCTTTCATGGAGGATTATAAGTTGATGTTCATTCTTTCTCTACCACCATTAGGGTGACAAACAGTTTAAACTACATCAGGATCTGACATGTAGATCAATTCTGGGTCCATAAAGAATCTACACAAGAGGTTCGTGGACAGGGATTTACTGCCCTCAGTTTTTATTCCCTCTTGCTGCAAAAATTACTTCTGTCAGTAGTTACAAGACTAAGGAAAAAAAAAAAAAAGTAAAAAGAATTAATTTTTCATGTGCTGCCGGAACGGCCTTTTTAAATTTCTGAGTTTTTAAGGCAAATATGTTATTGCATTTAAAATTATGCTGAACAGCAGGTGGTATTTAGCTAAATAGTGAGCCACTTGCATGATCTGCTCACTATCAAGCAGACAGCAATTTGAAACACTGAACTAAGCTGTCTAGATTTTCTCCGAGGGCAGTCACAGGCTTCATGTTACCAGTGCCAAATTATATTAGACATTTAATTTTAAACCTCAGGTACTTAAATGTAAAACCTTACAACAGTAATAGTCATAAAGCAGTGGGGCATTCCATTTCAGAGAATGGATTTTTCTATTTTTCCCCTTTAATTTAACCAGCACCTCCTGTTTTGTGGCTCTGCCCACTACAAAGTAATTTATCTAATTAGGAGATGTTCACAGCTGCTTGAAAGACAGAAGCCCCAGGAAACCAAAGGTCTGGTTTGGAAGACTTTGAAAAGTTCTCCAGAGCCACACAAAGTATTAATTTAATGTGAAAAAAAGGTGCAGAGAAAAATTGAATCCCAATATGTTATTTTGTCTACAATAAAACCATGTGACAATAACCAGGCATATTCTCCAGTACATTGGCATTTGAATTCCAAAAGATGCTTAGCTTCTCGCCGTACCTGCTGCTCTCACAGTATTATCTTTTTATGACTAAAATTCAAAAATCTTTTAATGGGGGAAAAAACCCCTGAAATTAAAGGGAGTTTTTCATGCGTCAACTTGCCAGCATAAAGGACACATCTATGAGCTTATCGAGAGATGATACACTGACAGCAATGAATTCTTCTTGAGGCTTTGTAGCAGTTTTTATCGCTCTGCTTCTGTTTCTGCTGACCCTTAGTTGCCTAAAACTCGCTGCTAGTCCAATTTTCCCCACTTTATTTTTTTAAAAAAGCAACTTTTATTTTCTTTCTTAAAAAAAAAAATAAAATAAAATTAGAACCTCTTCAAGAAATTATTCGTCAGGCTCATTCGGAAGTACCCACCGGTCATGTGTGGTTTTTGAATACATATTTCACAGATAATTCTAGCTGTCGTCTCTTCTGATCCAGAAGTAATCACATATGAACGTCAAGTCAGGAGAAGGTACCGCGCAGACACGGGAGCACAGAGCTCATGGAGGAGAAAAGGTTTCCTTCACAGGCAATTGCAACTAGCTGAAGCGCAGCATAGGGAGCAAAAAAGTCCAGCAAACATCTCAAAACCAGCAACAGCATTATGAAGTAAAAGGGAAGGGAGGAGGAAGGAATTTTGGATAGATTTCCACTTTTCCACATATTAATTACTCGCCACTTTTAGGAACTCTTGAATTCTGCATTGTGAAGATTATCCTCTACTTGTCACATCTGGCACTAAGAATCAAGGAGATGGCATCTGCTCACCCCTCCATACGTATGCCAGGTGCCAAGGGCCAAAGATTACATCTTGGTTTTTACTTGCCTTCCTCCTAGTGCAAACAATAGCTACAGCACAAAAGAAGGGCGCAAAAAGACAAAACTTTGATACAACCTTTTAAAAGGGAAGTAGAATTGAGGGGAACGGTTTTTACTTGTGCAAACAGTAGCTACAGCATAAAAGAAGGGCGCAAAAAGACGAAACTTTTGATACAGCCTTTTAAAAGGGAAGTAGAATTGAGGGGAATTCAAATGACGAAGCAGCTCGGGGAAAAAGAGAGAGAAATACAATCTCCTGAAGTGTGAAACCAGTTCAGTCTGAAGGAATCCACGTAGGGCAGTACTGATTGCCCTAAGTTTAGAAAGGAAAGGGTGAGTTGGGCTGAGACAGAAGAGAGGTGCTGAAGCATTTGATCATGCTGTTTAGCAGTATCTCTGCCTATCACCAAGGCTGGGGGGAAAAAAAAAAAGAAAAAAAAGGGATGCTTGCCTTGAAAAATTCTTGGTCAAAATCTGTACCATTTTGATGCAAATATCACACTCCTGAAGATGCTACCCACAAGTTCAGAGCTCCAGAAATGTATGTGCTTCTGGAACTCCAAACTTGACAATTAATGCCACCCAGAGCCAAGATTTTAAACTCTCTGTTCTCATAGGGTAGCACTGAAAAACTGTCCAAAGCTTCTTAAAAACTCAGAGGTAGTAGCAGGGCTATAGTCAACTCAAAGCTTATACAGATACCTACATATATATTTAAATACACACAGACATATACACATGGGACATGTGAAATAGTTCTTATACTCCTATAATTCCCCCTATTTTAGGGATAGCCATCAGAAACAGCTGTCCTCCCCCCTTCTCCTGTCCTATTCAAATTTCCTTCTCCCCTCTGTTGGATGAACAGCTATGGCTGCTCCAAGGATGCTCTCATTTGTGTAGGCAGCAGGTCAGCTATAGGTGAAGAGCATTATATCTCTGGCCTTCCCAGAATCACAGAATGATATGGGGTTGGAAGGGACCTCTGGAGATCATCTAGTCCAACCCCCTGCCAAAGCAGGGCCACCCACAGCAGGTCCCACAGGAACGTGTCTCCAGGTGGGGTTTGAATGTCTCCAGAGAAGGAGACTCCACCACCTCCCTGGGCAGCCTCTGCCAGGGCTCTGCCACCCTCACAGCAAAGAAGGTCCTCCTCATGTTGAGGTGGAACTTCTTCTATTCAAGTTTGTGCCCATTTCCTCTTGTCCTGTCCCTGGGCACCACTGAAAAAAGACCAGCCCCATCCTCTTGACACCCTCCCTTGAAGTATTTATCAGCATTGATCAGATACCCCGTCAGCCTTCTCTTCTCTGGACTAAAAAGACCCAAGTCCCTCAGCCTCTCCTCCTGAGGGAGATGTTCTAGACTCCTAATCATCTTTGTAGCCCTCTGCTGGACCCTCTCCAGCAGTTCCGTGTCCTTCTGGAACTGGGGAGCCCAGAACTGGACCCAGTGCTCCAGATGGGGCCTCACCAGGGCAGAGCAGAGGGGAAGGATGACCTCTCTAGACCTGCTGCTCATGAGAAGTGATCAGGCACTCTGTTGAGGCCAGATGCACCATTTTGTTACCAAATATCATGCATGCCCATTAAAAACAACAACCCCTCTTTCACTGTTACAATCTGACCATCGCACAACATCATCTGGAAGAGCGTTTGCTCCTTTTAATGCTGTTAAACACTCCACAGAGAAAACACTACAGCCATGCCAGGAGTGTGAATTCATGAAAGCAATATCACAGCTGAGAAAGGACATGCTCATGGAAACATGTGAAGGATAATTTACTGCTAATAGCTACCACACAGAGTAAGGAAACAAGAATATCAAGTGAACACCCTACATTACATACCTGAAATTAAAATTAAGCAGTATTATAATTACATTAGCTCTTCCTGCTGGAAAAGGACTGTATTGACCTGTTCTCTTTCAGCTAATTTCTCCATTTTTCTCTCAGATGCTGGAAGTTTGGCCTCCCACAGAGTACCTGGGTGAACATCAGGTCTTTTTTTTTTTTTTCTTCTCTTTTTAAAAAAAATCAAACCACCAAAACTCCCCCTTCACCCCAAAGCAGTTGTAACCCCTCCCAGCTCCAGGTTTCTTACCACTGCTAATGCCAGAGTTTGCAATGACTGTTGCCTCACTCCACTGATCTGCACTGGAGACCGAGTAAGAGCGCTGATGCATACCATCCGGACGGCTGTTGAAGGAGACTAGACTGATCCCACTTGCCATCTGAGACACAGATGTGCTAGTAGTCACGTTCCCTAGACATAAATGGAAAACAAATTGTGTCAATAGAGAATAAAAAGTTGATTTGGCATGAAGATGGATGGGTGCGTCTTTACAGGGCACAAAAATGAGGTTAACTCAACCAACACAAAAACCACCGCGGCTCTCCCTGAAACTCTGAAGACAACAACCCTGTGACCAGTTTGGGGCACCAAATATTTCAGCAGTCCACTCAAACTCAGCTAGGAACTTCTGACCGCCTAAAATTTCAAGATTTCAGCTCATTCTGTTCATTCACCTTCTGGAAAACTCTTATCTTCCACAAGCCTGCTACCAGTCCCGTTTTGTAAATGTTCTCCATTGGTTAAAGGTAGAGCACGAAAGACAGACTGTGCACAGAAAACAAATTTATTCCTGAAAACCACCGTTTACACAAGCAACCAAGATGAGCCAACTAAGCCAACTTAAAGAGTTCAAAACAATCTACCTCTAAATAATATTTCACATTAGTATGTCCCCCAAGCGAAGCCAAGTACACAGCGATGGGGAGGCAAATAACCACCAGCGTTGCGAGACCAAGCAAAAAACTTGTTTTTTAATCTTAAAACAACATCGTGACACAAAGCACGCACTAGAGGCTTGTTCCATTGACTGCAAATATCACTCCTGTGTCTCGTCCCACAGGAACACAACCTCCACAACTCTAACCGAAGGCCTACAACGCAAAAGCTGAGATACAAAGAATATAGCCGTCACCCAGTAAGCACTAGAAATAATTTTAGTATTTTCATGATCATTAAGGTCTAGGACAATAAAAGGCTGGGAGGTGTGTGCGAGGGGGAGCAACAGGGACAGGTTTCTCACCACAAAACAGGAAAAGCATGATCTGGTTGAATAAATTTTAGAGTCAAAACCATTAACACCTTTTCCAGAAACTCAGGTTTTTCATGGTCTTACCCATAGTTTGATATGGACCAAAGGGTACTCTCTAGTTTTGGTTTCTGAGCACATTTTACTCCATACATAGCACAGGACTTGCATATTACAAAGATACAAATATTTTACTTCATTCCTCCTGACAGGCTTTCAAAAGGTACCCCACAGATCTTCTGTGGATTTAAGAACACTCTCTAAAAACACATGTAACGAGAAAGAAACAGACACAATTTTATAAAATACCCTAACACTTTGCATTTCTATTGCACCTTCTACTGATGAGTTCAGAAAAATTAATGAATTAATTTTCAATGCTCCTGTGAGGTTGTTAATTATCTGCTATCATTTTCCCCATTTTTCAGAGGTTAAATGACCCAGGGCCACAAAGGAAGATTGTGGCAGACTTGAAAATAAAACCCACATCTCCTGACTCCCAGTTCTATCATTATGTCTTTTCCCAGAGCAGCCTTTGGGAAGACAGCAGAGCTTAGTGAACTACTTTGTGTTTATTAGAGTTGGCATAATTGTCCCTTTCTCTCCTCCCCTTTCCCAAGACTAAATCTCATCTTCAGTCCTTAACACAGATCCATCACTACAGTATCTGTCCACCTGAGTCTTGAATGCACTTAATCAGTCTCAAGAACTTCTGTTTGGCAATCTCTACAAAGGAGACACGAAATACACACAGATAAACTAATGTGTGCAATTGTGCAAAGTCTAAGGTGGATTTTGGAACCATGTTGGGATCTCCCAAGGCAGTGCTTTAGCTACTGGCACATAATTCCTCTCTAAACGCCTTCCCTGGGCAACCCTTTTGTCCAAAAGGATTCCACAGAGCATCATCTACCAAATTTTATAAAAAAAGTATGCTTCAAACAACTGGTCCTCTTTCTCTTGTGTGCTTGACTCCATCAGCTGAGAGCAATTTGCTAGTACTGGTGGTTTAACACCTTCTAAAGACATTTTCCAAAGAAACATTCAGCAAAGAAATCAGGCCTACAGAAACCAAGGTACAAGGCAGAAGATTAAATTATAGCTTGGTACCTTAAAGTCACAATAGAAGATGGAAAGACTATGTGGTGGTACATATTTTGAGGTCTCATAAGAAACACCTCCTTCCAAATGAATTTCTGTGATGCTGCTGATGCTCACTTTGAGACAGCCAGCAGGGGTTTCTTCTGGTTTTCACAATCCAGAAGAACTATGAACATTAACCAACTATTTTAATGATAAACCAAATTAAAGGGAGTGGCTGACATGAACGCTAGAGCTTGAGACCAAACGGACTCTAGCAACTTGAGATTTAGGCCAATATAAACACCATGTGGTTGGACATGGAGAAGTCCCCAACCTCTGCTCCTGGGACATCAGAGCAGCAGGGGGACTGGGGACCAGTTGGTTGAGTAGCAGCACTGCTGTGAAGAACTCAAATGTCAACAACGGATGCCAGAACGTGTGGTAACACCATACTCAACACAAACCATGAGCTGAGAACAGCACGATGGGCATCTGAAACACTGTACACTCAGTTCTGGGTCCCTCACTTCAGGAGGACTGTCAGGACATGGGAGAAGAGCCAGCAAAGAACTGCCAAGACAGCCAAAGGTCTGATCCACGTGGCCCATGAGTGCTGAGGGAGTTGGGCTGGTTTAGGCTGGTGAACAGGAGGATAATGCCTGATTTAATAAAGCTTTTTAGTTAAGGATGATAGAAAACAGCAGCAACACTACAGCTTGGAAAGTTCATAATGCAGCACTGCAACGGGCTACCAAAAGAAGCTGGGGGATCTCCATCCTCTCAAATTTCCAAAGCTCAACCACACAAAGACACAACTGAACCTTCCCAACCCTGGTGACAAGTCCTGCTTCTTCAAGCAGAAAGGATGGTGCAGATGATCTCCAGAGGTCCCTTTCAACCAAAATTTCCAGGGGTGTCTGAACAGAACAGGCTTTTTCTTTTTTCCTTCCATCCCAAAGCAAAATAAGAGAACCTTTCTGAGCTCAGAAGCTACTCTGTATTCCCATTTGATTCAAAATACTGTCAACAATTTGCACTTTGGTACATCTTAAGCAGTAAAATGGCTGCACTTCCTTTGATTGCATTATGAGTTGCAGTCACAGGACAAGAGATACCCAGAGGTCCTTGAAATTTTTACTGTTGATAAAAGAACTTACAGAAAAGTTACCCATTTTTTTCTGCTCTTGTTTCTGATTTTGTTTATTAGCCTTTAACTTCGAAAACGAGTTTACTGAACCAAACTTACAGGTGACAAGTACACAGCAGATTAATCCAAATTCTTTGTTTTGCTTCATTTGTGCTGTAACATCTTTGGGACCATCCTATTTGGAAACAACTTCTTTTTTCACAAGCATCTAGCCCTGCTGTTTGCGCTGCAACATCTTTGGGGGCATCCGAAGATTATTAGCGGTAAATGACTTTGGAAATAACTTCTTTTTTCACAAGCATCTAGCCCTGCCAGGCTCAAGAGCAATGCCCCAAAAGCACACGTTTAGCCTGTAGCCATCTTCCACGTTGCACCTAGTGAAATGGGAAGCCACGTGTGATGAATTCCTGCAAAAGCACCCTCATGACAAAGATCAGGAAGGAGAAAAATGGTACGTGAAAGCCAAGATGGAGCATTTCCTAGAGTATCACGGGAAAATGGGAACAATTACTGGACCTCTTCACCTGGACGACACATCCCCTCTACTCTGCTGCAGAGAGCAGCAGTAATTGTAATTATCACAGGAAAATGGCAATAATTACTGGACCTCTTCACCTGGATGACACATCCCCTTTACTCTGCTGCAGAGAGCAGCAGTAATTGTATGCTGACATCTTCCCACCTAGTTCCCAAATTTTTGAACAGAAGTGTCCAGTCAACTTTGTAACCATGATGCAAAATCAAAAATTTTATAGGATATCCAGCATAATATCAGGAGTTCTACATCACCACGAAAACACTAATAGCTTTACGTTCACCTTAGTGCCATTCCTCTGAAACTCCATGCCCCTTGTTATGGCTTTAGCCTGCTGAGGAAGTGACTTATTCTGCAAATCAAAGAGGATTTTTTCTTTCCCTTCACGTTTCTGAAAGGCATGGGCTGCTAGCAACAAACAGGTGCCAAGTCCCATCATGTAACACTTTACTGATGAATGATGCAACCCAGCTCACCTCTGTCTTTTCTCTTGCCATAGTCTGATCACTCTCCAACCTGTAACCCTTGTGATAACATTTACTCAAGGTTAAATTCCACTTTCTTCACGTGCTGTAAGATTTTCATGATGTATCATACCATCCAAGCCAGAACTCGTGTGTAGCTATCAGAAGGGCTGAACTACAGAAAACAGTGTGCCCTTTCCTCTCCCCCTCCTGAATGCGTTCCACTCTAGCACAAACTTGTTACTTACAACCTTAGTTAAAAATCGTTATTTCCCAACCCATTGCTAATTTTTCCACTTTTTGGTCTAATGGCAGCATGCCCAGGAAATGTATTCCACCACCCCAGCAGGCACTAATGCTGTCACAGCCAAACAAGGACTACTGGAAGTCAGCTGCAGCTCTTGCACACTCTGTAGGCTGCACAAAGCTTCTACAAAACAGTCCTACCTTTTTTCCCCCATCTATAAAATATAAATATACGTGTTTTTTCTCCATCTATAATATATATAACAGGCAAACCCCAATCCGGATCCCCACAGAGCAACTCTCCTTTATTTTTGCTGAGGGATAAAGCCTCAACAGCAGAAATCATCTCAGCTTTTTGCAGACAAGCAAAAGAGGAAGGAGGACAAGCTAAAAAGAGGAAAGGAAATCACCACATTTTGGGTTAGGCATATAAAACCTTTACATCAAGCTTTTCCAAGCAATGCCTTAATGCATGCTGCATCTGTCGTCCCCCCCATATACCCACACATATGTGTATATATCTATATGTAGACAGATACATCTCTCTCTCAACATTAACATGAAATCCGTGGTCAACTACCTGGCCCATTCTGGAGCTGTGAAAGAGTGCCTCTTCAAATACATCATATATGCATCAGCTGGTTGCTTAAGTTGATTAGCAGGGGGCAGTTAAATTACTATGCTAATCCA